AGCTCCCGAGATGATTCTACCGAGATTCTCCTCTTAAGCAATTGGCACGTTGCAACTCGGTGAAGCTCGCGTTTCTCGCGCGAGCTGCTGCTTCGAAATAACTCAGGAAGAAATTACGCGAGATTCTTTGACACGGCGCGCCGAGTTAAAGGATCGGCCCGAGTCTCGGTTTCATCGTCGTTTCACATACCCCCGACTAATTCAATATTCCTAAAGCGACTCGTTCGCCACCGTGCTGCGATTACCGCGACAATTGGATCCACGAACGAGGTGGCCGCGCTTTTGTCGCGTCTCTTTGATGGAACTCGAACGCCCTCCGTAAAAATCTCCCCGGCTTTCCGGAGACGTTTCAAAGGAGAACTCTCTTGCAATCACTGCGTTTCCGAAAATTACGTTCGCCCCAGTAGTTTTCCCTAGTAGCGTCGTAATCAAGCTTCAGCGCTGTTTATGTAATTCGTTTGTGTAAGTCGTAATGGGATTCAATGAAATTCGTAAGGCAAAATCAAGATTTTGAACGATCTAATATCTTGATTCTCTCGAGAAACATTGTCACATTTTAGAACAGTACTTTGGAACGAAAAAAGAAATTGTCATCGACTGTAATTATATATGATTCTTTTGATTTGAAATAATGTCAATAGAGATTTTGACGAACACGTCGTAACAATCAAATATCTGGACCCTCTGGAAATATTAGCATTTTTTTATAATTAATATTGGCAATTTTATGTTTAATATTGGTATATTAGCAAATATTTACATTTTGGAATAATTTAGAAAGAGAAATTGTCATCAATTGTAATTATATATAATTTTTTTGATTTGAAATAATACCAATCGAGATTTTGACGAATATGTCGTAATGAAACAAATANNNGGATCCTCTTGAGAAATATTAGCATTTTTTATAATTAATATTAGCAATTTTATGTTTAATATTGGTATATTAGCAAATATTTACATTTTGGAATAATTTAGAAAGAGAAATTGTCACCAATTGTAATTATATATAATTTTTTTGATTTGAAATAATACCAATCGAGATTTTGACGAATGTGTCGTAATGAAACAAATATCTGGATCCTCTTGAGAAATATTAGCATTTTTTATAATTAATATTAGCAATTTTATATTTAATATTGGTATATTAGCAAATATTCACATTTTGGAATATTTTAGAGTAAAAGAGAAATTGTCATCAATTGTAATTATATTTGCAATAACACAATTTTACAATAAATAACAACTAGAAAATTTTACTATCACAATATTTATTTCAATTCTAAATTTCGGCAAATGCACTTACTCCACTCGTGTGTCGGGTATACTCGTCGCAGTTTAAAAAGAATGAAACACTAAAATTCACCCTCGAAATGGAATAAAACGCTCAAAGGGTTGACTATTTGGGTTGCAAATTATATTTTAACATGCCTTGGAATTTTCAATTCACGTTGAACGTTTCGAAACTCGTTACGAGTGGCGTGAAACAAAAAAAAAAAAATGGAAAAAATTGGTTGACCAATTCGCTTACCAAGGGATCAGCGAAATAATGCGAAAACAATTGTTATTTCCCGGGAGGTGGGAGGTTAGCGCGGTGGTTTCCGGTATTCCGGAAGCAGAGAGGGCACGTTCTCTCGCGGTGTCGTGATTCCGTTTCATTTTCGAAAGCAGCGGCGGGGGAACGTTGTGTTTTGTGTGTGCGACAGGCAACAAATAGCACCGACGTGGTCGTCGCGGGGAGAAGAAAGCGCGGAACGTTGCCCCAACGCGATAAAAGAAAATCTTGCCGGTGGTTGACCGGCTTGGAAGCGCAGCTCCGGCATTTATCATCGTGTCGCGTTTTATTTCCTCTCGGTTGCCCGATCATTCCGCGACTACTTTCTCATTTGTATCCGACGCGAATTCTTCTCTCGCCGCGAGCATATGCAGTGTCTACTTTTAACCCCTGACGCTGGCAAGACTGGTTCGCGGACCATAACGAACGACCGAACCTTAGACAATAATTCGTCGCTCTCTTTTTCTTGCAAACTCGTCGGTATGACATCACTGGATAGAAATTATTGAGAAGTAACAAATTTATTATTTGTATGCCTATTTTGTTAAATGTACTTAAAAACTGAGGAAATATTACAATTTTGAAACGAAAAGAAGATTAACCATTTGTGCTGGCAACTGATTGCGGACCATAACGAGCGACCGAACCGTATACAATAATTTGTCGCTTTTTCTTTCAAACTCGTTGGTATGATATTACTGGATAGAAATTACTAAGAAGTAGTAAATTTATTATTTGTTCTGCCTGGGTTATATTTTAATATACTTGAAATTAGTATATTAAAATTATTTTCTCAGTATTGGGAATACATTTTACCTTAATACGAATAGTAATATTTAGAAACGTTCGGAATCTCGAACAGAATCTCTTTTCCTTGAAAATCACATTTTTCAACACAGTTTTATTTTTATTAAACGCCTTGACCGTTTGCGCTGGCAACTGATTGCCATAACGAGTGACCAAACCGTATACAATAATTCGTCTCCTTTTTGAATTCATCGGTATGTCAATGGATAGAAATTACTGAGAAGTGATAAATTTATTATTTGCTTTGCCCGGGTTATATTTCAATATACTTGAAATTAGTATATTGAAATTATTTTCTCGGTATTGGGAATATATTTTACCTTAATACGAACAGTAATATTCAAAAACGTTCAGAATCTATTTTCCCAGAAAATCACATTTTTCAACACAGTTCTATTAAACGCCTTGCGCTGGCAACTGATTGCGGACCATAACGAGCGACCAAACCGTATACAATAATTCGTCGCTTTCTTTTTGGTGTGATATCACTGGATAGAAATCATTGAGAAGTAACAAATTTATTATTTGTTTTGCCTATTCTGTTTTACTTAAATATATTTAAAACTGACAAAATGTTACACATTCGTAACGAAAAATTCTCATCGTGCGTGGAACGTTATTCCAGCGCACGAAGTTAAGAAAGAAAGAAGAAGAAAGAGAGAAAAAGAAACCGTGAGATTGCTCGTCCCAAATCCAAGAGCAACGTCTCCGCAGTCCGGATTAAAAAATGACGCGTACACTTTTGTAATTTAAAAATTTAATCCCCGCCCAGCGAGGACGGGAGAGGATTTTCTTAGTCGAAGAAAGCTTCCCGTCGTGCGCGTCGAGGGGGTGGCGGCGAGTCATTTTTCAGACGAACCAGACAACGTAATTGTAAACTGTTCGACTCGCCCCGGGACGAGAGGCAATTTAAAGTTTGAAATCCAATCTTTGCCTTTCGCGGCGAGTCGCGAGGGATGCAGAAAGACAGAGAGAGAGAGAGAGAGAGAGAGAATGAGAGAGAGAAAGAGCTCATCTAAAATCCTTGGTAAGAAACGAAGGGAACGACGAGTCGCGAGCGATTTCATTCGTCGCGAAAGAAACAAGCAGACAGCTGTTTCGTTATGAAGACGAGACAGTTTGAGATTTGAGAAAGGATGGACGGTTCGCTGGATCGAACGATCGCCCCGCGGGATCAAAGTCACACAGCAGGTGGCTGAAAGGACGCTTTGAGCATGAGCTGAAGCCACCGAGGTCGGTTATTGGCCCCCGGGAACATGGTGCCTAACGGCTCGCAGACCGGAGTATCGATTGCGGATACGGTGCAACCCTTTGAGATCGACCACGCGGAACCGATGAATATTTTCTCCCCCATTTTTCTCGCACTCTCCGTTCCACTTTCTGTTTATTCAATTTCCACTCCCGCGCCCAGCACGGGCTCTGATTCCCTGTCCCGTTCCGGGTTAAAATCTCTCGTTCGCGTTACACGTGTTCCTCCTGCTTAGATCTACTTCCTACTGTTTTCATCGTTTTTCTCTTCTTTTTTTTCCAAATAAGACATTTTTCAGATTCTAAAATTAAAATGTTTCAAGATACCTCTAGACGTCGCGGGAAATATTCGATTAAACGAAAGAAAATTTAAGTCGACGCTCGACAAAACAGAGAACAGCAGAAAAAAGAAGGGGGGCAAAGATGATCCTAAAATTGGAACGTTTCAAGATACCTTTAGATTGCAAAATTGTTGCGGGAGCAATTCGCTTTTGTAAATAAGCTGGCCATGTTTCTTTGAAAAAACAGGATTTTGAATTATCGAACAGCGAAGGCGATAAACGTCGCGGGAAATATTCGTTTGAACGAAACAAATTTAAGTCGACGCTCGACAAAACAGAAAACAGCAGAAAAAGGAAGGGGGGCAAAGATGATCCTAAAATTGGAACGTTTCAAGATACCTTTAGATTACAAAATTGTTGCGGGAGCAATTTGCGTTTATAAATAAGCTGGCCATGTTTGAAAAAACAAGATTTTGAATTATCGAACAGCGAAGGCGATAAACGTCGCGGGAAATATTCGTTTGAACGAAATAAATTTTAGTCGATGCTCGACAAAACAGAGAACAGCAGGAAAAGGAAGGGGGGCAAAGATGATCCTAAAATTGGAACGTTTCAAGATACCTTTAGATTGCAAAATTGTTGCGGGAGCAATTCGCTTTTATAAATAAGCTGGCCATGTTTGAAGAAACAAGATTTTGAATTATCGAACAGCGAAGGCGATAAACGTCGCGGGAAATATTCGTTTCAACGAAACAAATTTAAGTCGACGCTCGACGAAACAGAGAACAGCAGAAAAAGGAAGGGGGGCAAAGATGATCCTAAAATTGGAACGTTTCAAGATACCTTTAGATTGCAAAATTGTTGCGGGAGCAATTCGCTTTTGTAAATAAGCTGGCCATGTTTCTTTGAAAAAGCAGGATTTTGAATTATCGAACAGCGAAGGCGATAAACGTCGCGGGAAATATTCGTTTAAACGAAACAAATTTTAGTCGACGCTCGACAAAACAGAGAACAGCAGAAAAAGGAAGAGGGGCAAAGAACCAACGCGCCCTGGCCATTAATTATAAAACGATTAATTATTAACGGGGAAAGTTTCGGACTAAACTCACCCCTAACTCTCGAAGCTTCTGGCGTTGCTCCTCCTCGGTCGCGTACTCCGTCAGCAAGTAGGATTTCAGATCTTGTAAAATTGTTTCTTGCCTCTTGTCCAACTTCTTTGGGCCGTTCGCCTCGGACTCCGAGTATCGATTGTGCCCGACGATTTCACCCTCGCCTCTCGATCTCTCCGCATACTCTGGACCCTCCGATTCTATCGACTGAAAGTACAAGAAAAAGAGGAAGAAGAGAAAGAAGAGGAAAGGGGAAAGTTCGCGGAAATCTTTCTCTAAAGCACCGAGTGCATTAACTACCCTGTCAAAGTATAACAGTAAAATTCCAGTTTCTCCGTATTCACGGTGCAGGGCTTTTTATATCGCTCGTAAAATTCCATGTGTCGATCAGAGCCATTTTAGGCGACACTCACTCTTGTTTTTTCTTTTTGTAAACAAACGCCGCACTCTTTATGGGCGCAGTTTGGTTGCACAGATCGTTGCATTTTTCGCGACGAGTAAACTGTCACTGAATTCAGTTCAAAAGATCGCTCAACCATCACATATTATTCTTCCTCTCCGCACATGCACAAACATCCCCAAAAAATGTATCGAATCACTATAAAACTCTTAACTTTCTGTTTTCAAAATCAAAATAATGAAATAATGCGTATGCATTTCATTTGGGACACATTGCATGTTGAATAAACTAAAATCAAAATTTCTTTAGCCAAGGAACTTTGAAATTTCCTATGTTTCTCTTCAGGAGAATTTTTCTCGATTCTAAATCCCTCTTGGTGTTTAATTTCTTAAAACCCCGAATGAAATAATAAAAAGGAGGAAGTTTCTTTAAACTTGACAAAGAGCCCGGTTTCGAACGTTATTAAAATATCTTTGTTATTGATAAAAGTTCACGACATTAATTGATAATGAATTGCTTCGGTCCGTGACAGTGAGCGTAGAGTTGGTTGTGTGTTTTTAGTCAGTGAATAAATAAATCGATTTACAGCGAATAGAAAATGATCGATGAATAGTTCTACTCCGGAATAGAATAGGAGATTCGTGAGGAAGTACGTCCACTGTAACCATAACTTAAGAAGAACGTATCTACATACGTTTTAGGTGAAAACGAACGATATTTCTCTTAATTAATTCGTAAAAGTTGACGACTTTAACGCTAGAACTACCAACCGAGAAAGTATAATATTTGTAGCAAAGAAATTAAAGCGCAAGGTACGAGAAAAAGTTAATAATACAAAAAAGAATACAATCTTCTATTGATATATTTTATTAAAAATCACTCGAGCGTCTGAAAGCACAGTGTTATAAATGTATGAAATTTCCATAAAAAATTATGAATTAGTCATTTTGATCATTTTGGTAGTTCTAGTGTTAACGGATAATAAATTGCTCCGATTAGTTCACACTCTGACAGTGAGCATGCATTTACGATCAATGCGTATTTTTATTCTATTCATCGTCAATAAATAAATCGTAGATCTGCAACGAATACAAAATGGTCGATGAATAATTCTGTCACGAACAGAATCGGAAATTCGCGGGGAAGCACTATGTCCACTATAACCATAACTCATACGCAAGAAGAACGTGTCTACATATGTACAGAGTGGAAAGAAACGTTTGTCCGTGGCTATCGTAGACGAATTCTACACCTTCGATTTTTGATGGAAATACATGTAAAGAATCTGTCGCAAAATTAACCTTGACCTTGAATTTAAATCTAAAAATTTTCTTTTTCTTTTTCTTTTTGCATTGTACTCTACTCATCACGGACGTAAAACTTTTCCAAGTTCGCAACCTAATAGTTCTTTTGAAAAGTGACAAAAAATCTCTTAACAGCGGATGCGTGAGTTCTAACAGCGACTTTATGGATGTTTATTTTACGTAATTTTCGCAAGTTTTACTAACATTTGATTTAGTAGTTATTTTGTAGTTGTAGCATCAGTGTGAGTCTAAATAATCAAACGATAAAACTGTCAACATTATTCGAAATATAAACATTACGTAATATAGACA